CAAACTTCAACACAAACATATGATTTTGCTAATTTGGAGAATTCAAGCACCTGATCGCATCTCTGGAAATTTATTTTGCTCTTTTGTTTACCATGCAGGTTCCTCCATTTGAAAATAAACATGGACTTCAGCCATGCATGGTAGCTCCCACCAAAATTATAGCAGGGCTGGGTCTTTCACTCAGCATTGATATCTTAGAAGCTCCTGGAGCAACTGGAGACTATCGAACACTTCTAACATCCAAGGCAACCGCTATAGCCAATGCACTTTCTGCTCCACTACAGTCATGTCCCCGTGTTTTTGTACCAGGAGAGGATGAGTACAAGCCAGGCCATGCTGACGGTTATGACTTTGGTTTTCTTCACATCAAGGTGGTAATTCAATGAGTTATTTATAATATTTATCACTTTTTTTGGGGGATCTTTCTACAATCCACATGTCCATATTTACAACCTCAAAATCCATGTCCTTAGAACAAGAGTAGTTCTCACTATGTTGATGTCTTCATATCCTTGTTATTTGCAATATGTGGATATGTATGCATGTATAATCGTGGTTTTCTAGGAAAATTTTTCTTGCCTTCATTTTATTACAGAAATGCTAATTCTCTAGTTGGTGGCTGTCCCAACAGGCAATAGATGATGCAGGTCACGATAAGGCAAGCATTTTCAAGGTCAAAGCCTTAGAAGCTGTTGACCGAGCAATAGGTCAGCTGGCCAAGCTCCTCTGGCAGGCAGAATCGACTGGAAACTTCAAATATTCTCTTTGTGTCACTGGTGACCACTCCACCCCAGTTGAGTATGGAGATCACAGCTTTGAGCCAGTCCCATTTGCACTGTGCCGGTTAGAGGATTTTGTTGGTGCTGTGGGAGGGAATGACATTGTTATGGGAACCTCCCTAGATCCATTCCCTCTTCCAACTGTCAAGACTGATGAAGACCTAAAAGAAGACTTGGGTATAGAAGAGGAGAGAAACATCTTGCAAAAAGCTTTCAGTGGTGATTCTGTTAGTGAGTTCAATGAGATAGCAGCGGCAAGGGGTTGTCTTGGGCGCTTTCCAGGAGGTGAAATGATGGGAATAATAAAAAGATTTCTTAAATTGAAACTTTGAGTAGCAGTTTTTGTTGGGAAGGTTTCTGGAATTTGTTTCAAAAACCTAATAAATAATTAATGGGTTTGACTCGTTATATTCCTAACTTGATTATTTTAACATGGGATTCTACCATTAATTGGAATAACAAAAGAATTATTTTCTGAACAAGTCTTCTAATTTTGCGCTCTTCAACAGGGTTATATCTCACCAACTGATAGTGGTTCAGTTGGCAGGGTCTCTGCCTCGTTGTAGCGGATACTTGTGATGGGAATGGGCTACCCCCTGTTATCTAGAGTGCAGATGGTCTTATGAATCAGGAATAAAAAGGGGGTTCTGTCTCCGTAAAAGGAACTACAGACTTGGGCATTTGATGTTCTGAATTGATAACCATCTAAATGCAAATTCTAATGTTAAAATTACATGTTTTTAAAGTTAACAAAAGATGGGGAAAAATATACGTGAATACTTGTAAAATGTACAAGTAAATATCTTGCGTGGTAAGTTAGACTTAGATTTGTGGGTTTTCATCTCCCATTTATAAATTATAAATTTTTAAATGCACTTTTTAACATCATTCATAATTTCATATTAAATTGCAATAGGTTTAATTTTGGATGAATTATGCATATTAATTTGTAGAGTTTGCGGCTCATGTGTAAATGTTTAATATTAATTTTGGGGAAAATTCTATTTTAGTACCTTAAACTTTGGGGGTAGTGTCAAGTTAGTACCCGAATTTTCAAACGTGTCACTATAGTACCTAAGGTCCTAAACTTTCAAAAAGAGTCAAGTTGGTCCCTGTTGTTAACTGATCGTTAGTTATTTGTTGAAAATGTTAAAACTATCCTTTAAAAGAAGACACTGTTCATACTATCATTTAAAAGAAGACATTGTTCATTGTTTTCTTCCCTGAAATTGAACCAATTGACGTGTTTGAGATTTTAGGCAAATGAAGTCATTATCTTCTACCTTTAGATATGAAACACATTTTTGTCTAGTTATTTTTTTGCTTTCAGTTATTGTTTCCCCCTATCACATTTTATGTTTTTTTCTCTTTTTCTTTAAAGATAATCGGTTCAGTCTCAAGGTAAAAGACAATGAACAATGTCTTCTTTTGAATGGTAGTTTTGACATTTTCAACAGATAACTGATGGTTGGTTAATGGTATGGACCAATTTGACACTTTTTGATAGTTTAGATATTACAGTGACATATTTAAAAGTTAAGGTATTAACTTGACACTATCCCCAAAGTTTAGGGTATTAAAATAAAGTTTTTCCTTAATTTTGAGAACAAATTTATACATATTTAAAAATTATGTGTATTTTGGATGAATTATGCATGTCCAGTGTGATAAATAATTTGCAATATATTACACTTCCCATTTCGCATGACACGATAAAAAGTATGTGTTTATACCTTATTTATGTCTAATTGAACCATATATAGAATTAGTGTTATTGATGTACTTGTAACTTTGTAAATTTATTTGAATTTTTCTAAACGTATCAAATTATCAATGCGCATCTTAATCATTACATTTTACTTTTCCATTGTCCCATTTCCAAAGTGCATCCTGGCAATCTATATATGCTCTCACATGGCATCTATCTTTTTACTCCTTTTCTTTATTTTTGTTTTTTTTTTTTTTAATTTCACATAATTCCGCATCATCTTTAATCTTTCGTCTTTGTCTTTCTCGTTAACTCCTTTTTATTATCATCTCTTAATTAATCATGGCATTAACTCTCTCTCCTCTAATAACTTGTTCCACTAATTCTCTTTCTTCTCAATAGCTCCATTGCATTAAATTGCCTAAAATTCAGTGAATATTTCTTCTTTTTTTAGATAAAATACAAAAACCTCCCCTAAAGTTTTTGACAATAATAAAAAATTCCTCTATAGTTTCATTGTAACAAATACTCCCCATGAACTTTTGAGAAACTTAACAAGAACCTCCCTTTTGTCACTAACCCAAAAGGAGAATGTATACATTTACAAAATTACCCCTGATACATCATTTAAAGATATCATAAAACATCATATTTGCCCTCAATCAAGAAACATCTGGCTCAGATGCTTGGCTGCTACGAATCCCCTCAATCTTCTGTGGTAATGTGGCTCTTCTCTGTATCTCTATAGCTAAAATTTGCAGCCTTTGTATTTTTATCTTGTCTTTCTCTTCAAGGGGTTGTTGTAAGTAGGACTCCAATTATTCGTTTGATTTCTGATTTTACCAATAAGAGCAAATGAAAATTATTTGTTCCTCAAACAGGAATTCAGCAACGTTACGGGCTCTTCCCACTATGCAATCCTCATTTTTATTCTACAAGAATCTCTTCGGCTGATCTCCCACTGTTCTTCCTCTTAACCTTTGAAGGTATTTACTACACAAAGGATTTCATGCTATCTTGCATCGATGGCACTTTTTCTTTTCCCATTTTTTTCTTTTTTAGCCTTGTCATCAGCCATGCGAGTGAGTTTGCAATTTCGACTTTTTCCATTTCAGAAATTGATCTTCAAATCACTAGAGACTTGAGGCTCTAGACTCAGAAATTGTTGTAAAACTTGAGGATGCGCTACATTATCAGAGAATTTGATTTTTTTTTTTTTTTAATTTCTTGTACTATTTATTTGTCAATTGGATATTGTATTTGAACAATTTGTTTTGGATATTTTAATAACTAATCTTTATATTAATAGATTTCATTTTAAATTGCAATTTTTATTTAAGTTGTCTAAGTTTTAAATTGTATTTTTTTTTTTTTATTTAAGTAGGTATTAAAATTCTAAACAAATAAAACAAACAGGTACTAAATATGTTGAAATTAAGCAAGAATTAATTTTTCTAAAAAATTTGGTCTATGTCAAGCTAGTGGTCTATGCCGACACTGATATCCACCTACTTAGCTATAAATATGCAGGAGAAGATAGGGTGACGATCAATGCCTGTTGGTTTAGAGTCCGGATCTCCTGCCCACATTAATCGCAAGAATATCTCATTTTTTGTATAATATTATATATTTCGAAATATTTTCAATTCACGGGAATAATATAGTGTGGGAAGGCGTGGGCAGAATTGTTGTGAGCAGGAGATCTGGAATCATTGGTTTAGCCATTGATAAGATAAAAGGAGATGGTCATATAGTACCTAAATCGCCGCTTTAAATAAGATAAGCCGGTAGTTCTGACAAAACCATCGCTTTAGGGAATTGTGAACCGCCCTGGACCAACCAGTAAAGGTGACACCGTGGCAGCCTTTTCAGCCTAAGCCGATGTCTTGATCTAAGGTGACAGTCAATTAAACGGCAGACGGTTGACCGCCGACTTAGACCAATGATAATCTTAAAACAAAATAAATATTTTTAAATAAGGTTGATCTGTGCCTGTGGTCATAACTGCTAGTAAAGTAAATATGCAAAATACTTTTTTATAAATCGAGTTGACCTATGCTGGCAGTGAGTTCTGACAGGACAACCAGGTAGGCAGGAGATGCTAGGGTGAAGACTTCTCTGTATGTGATTTTAGAATGGAAAAGCTTGGACAAACTGAAGAATTACAGTGGTTCTAGCTCTCATATATCTTATTGATCTCTTGTTCATCCAATCAATTATGGCTTATGAATTTCTCTTCATATAAGTCTTTGTAGGAATAGAAATTCCCCACCCTGTCGTTGCCCCGAATCCCTGATGGAGCTAAAAATCTTAACCTCATTCCCGTTTCCACAAGAAACAAGGATCTCTGACTTTGTGCCGCCCTGCCCCAGTTATTTTACTTGTATATGTATAAATTTATTTTTTATCTTTTTAAACCTATTTAGAATTATTTTATATTATGTAATATAGTATGATAAAATATAATATATTATGGTATAATATACATTAAGATATATACACAAGAAACAAGGGTCCCTGACTGTGTGCATGACTTTTCCTAATTTCATAGACCTTTTATTCTTGTATGTATGGCACCATGTCTTAACTTCATTTGCTTGATGTGCAAGTTATGGAATTCATATCATAGTTTTCTTCATGGGGCTGGCTACACAATGGAAATAGCTCCCTGCTCATAACCCCACCAACAATAATGATGATAGGATTTGATCCCAAATACATTGTCGAATTCACTATCATAGCATGAAACAGGGATTTGACATGGATTTATCCTATGTTCAATAAATTAGATACTTTGCCTCTATTTATTTCATTAAGCAATTTGCCTTCTATAGAGGTTGTTCAATCAGACATGGGCGGAGAATTTATCAACTTTAAACAATTTCTTGTTAAAAATGGTATTTCTCACTGTTTTGCTTGTCCACCTACACGAGGGCAATACGGAAGTCACATTTGTTATGCAAAAGCTCATACGGTAGGTGCAAAGCCATATAGTACACCCATGGCTTCATGCATCAGACTCTCTTCATTGGATGGTATTCCACAGCAGATCTCTCCAAGTACCATGCTGTAGTTTTTTTGGGTACTTGGTTCTACGCCTGAATCCCCCATAGGGGCTGTTTGAACAGTGCAGTACCACACCTATAACCCCTTCCAAATCTGATGGTCGCAAGATGTGAATCCTTGTCTCTCTTTATTGGAATGAACCAGCTAACAGCTCAACTGACCTGAGATAGTATGAATGAACCAGATAACACCAATCCTTCCTTAAAAAACTTGCCATTGATCCCCCTCGGCCACCAATTCTTTGGTTTGATAACATCAGAGATATCTATCTTAGTATGAATCCCATATTTCACGTCCGAAAAAAAACATATTGAAATTGATTTCCACTTTGCTTAGGCAAAAGTAACTATTAATTGCTTGATGTTTGATAAATTTGCTGATATATTCACCAAACCATCGGCCCATGCCTGATTTGCAGCTGAGCAACAAGCTTCGTGTGGTAGAGACCCAACTTAGCTTGAAGAGGAGGGGGGATGCAAAGCTACTACTGATCCTATTCTCCAGATTCTAGCCCATTGTAAGTTTGTCCAGCAATGTCACTTAGAAGATAAGCCTCATCTTAGTTAACTGCTGTATACTAGTTTCCCTTTCATACTCTTTTTTTAGCCCCAAAATTTATTCCAGGTGGAGGGGCAACCACCTAAGATTTTCATTGATCAACCATTATCAAAAGGAAATTGAATTACAGTAGAGGATGTAGCCCACTTGGCCCCGAAACCCAAACAAGAAAAGCACTTCCTTCTATACTCAACCTTGCCCAAGAGCATTATAAAAAACAAAGAAAAGGAAAATGCACAAGTCAGATAAAGCATCAGTCTAACCGAAGGATTGGGAGCCGCATATAGTCTTCCTTCATGAAGTTGAAGAGATCCCGAGGAAGATCTTGGAAAGAGCGAAACACATGTCTCTTTCTTTTCATAATTCCCAAATTAGCAAGACAGTCTGCATCTCTTTCTAATCTCTCTTTAAGGAGTAGGAGTGGATAATGCTCCAAGGTGTTGAAGAATTAGCAAGAAGAATATTTACCAAACCTTGATTATCAAATCCACTTCCACCTCCTTTATACCATTTTCATATCAAAGCTTAAACCTCCTTTATGTATCGCCATGCATTCGGCTCTAAGAGAGGTGCCATGACCATAGCAATTGTAAAAAGCAAACTTGAAAATAGTAATGCAATTTCTAACAATCCCTCCACTAGTGTTGTCTCCTGGGTTGTTGCGACATGTCCATCAACATTAATTTTAAACTCGAATTGAGAAGGGAAGTGCCAATAGACCCAACGAATTCTCTTTCTTTTAATTGGCAAAATAGGAATATTCATTGCTATCTAGATATGAAGGCTTACCCTAAGCTAGATTAATTTCCCGCAACCAGCTGTGAAACTCCCACAGAAAAAGAAAAAATGGACATGGTTGTGAGTGAAAATCCTCAGGGTAAAATTGTAAAATAATTATATTTCAAAACTCAGGTTTAGATTTCAAACTTTCTTTATATTCAGAGTTTTACTCTTTTTTTTTTTACTTTCATAACCTAAAATTAGGACTGTCAACGGGTTGGGCCAGGGTCAAGTTTAGGTAGAATTAGTCCAAACCGATTATTATTCAGGACAAAAATCACAGACCAAAAACTGTCCTGGTTAATAGTCGGGCCTATCAGGTTTGGACCCGATAAACCTGATTTTACTTAAAACTATATTTATTTATTTAAATAATAATTTAAATTTTAAGTTTTGATAATATAACCTTAATAAAAATGATACAAAATATGATAAAAATTATAAGAAATTAAGAAAACATTATATATATATATATATATAATAAAGTAATCAGTTCCAGGTCTAAATTGATTTGAGATAGGCAGGAAATGGAATTGACCCAATAATTAATCAGAACAAAATCACAAAACTGAATCTGTTATAATAGGTTCAGCCAATTCGGATTCATCAGGTAAACGGTAAACCCAACCAATTGACTGCCCTAAGGCTCAGTTTGGAAGGAGTACAAATACAAATATGTAGAGTCCAAAACCTTACATTTTGTATTATTTTGTACTGTACATATTTATATTTGTATTTGTACTCCTTCCAAACTGAGCTGAGCCTAAGTAGAATTTCATCACCACACCGCCTATTGCAATTAATTCCCTGCAAAACCTATTCATTCTTGATGTCCAATATATACAACACATTGTGCATTAAAAAACAAAGGCTCAGTTTGGAAGGAGTACAGATACAAATTTAGAGTGCAAAATCTTGTATTTTGTATTATTTTATATGTATTTGCACAGTACAAATTTGTACTTGTACTCTTTCCAAACTGAGCCTAATATCCAATAACCCAGTCCAGTTANATTTTGTATTATTTTATATGTATTTGCACAGTACAAATTTGTACTTGTACTCTTTCCAAACTGAGCCTAATATCCAATAACCCAGTCCAGTTACCATTGTTCTTTTACATTCATTGAAATGGCAATGCAAATGCCATGATTAATTTTACTGAAGAAACAAATACCAGTTGGCTGAGTTATTTGCACCTTACCAAATACCAATCTAAAATAGGAAAACTAGCAAGGAGAGGATACAAATAAAAAAGTGTTACAATTTTAATTAAATCTAAAAATAGGCACACTAGCAACGGTTTTCTAAGTAAGCCACGGGGGACTTGATCGCATGATCTTGGGATGTGTCAAAGGGCAGCTAGGGGGAATCCATTGCCACATTGAAACCCACCATAGCTTAGGTAGGCCGTCAACTTATTTGCGCCAATAATGTTGCAGGTAGTGATCAGTGGTAACACTAAACCAGCTGGTAGAATGCTCATGGCCTTTCCCCTCTTTTTTTATTTGCCTTAAGTAGAAGTTTTCCTTCATGAAATCCATTCTTCTCTACTTGCCTTTATACAAGGGAAAAGAAAATAAATAAAAGAACTTGGAAAGAAATGCTTACTTAAACTGGTGTTAGATGGATTCTCATTTTACATTTGGCTTCTTAACTGAATTGGTTGTAGATGAGCTTAAATAGCTCCATTTTGAATTTTGAATTTTTAAAAATTAAAAAAACATACACACAAAATTCCAAAAAGAATTCGGAAGTTATATGAATCTGACGTGAACAACTGCATTTTAGAATATAGCATAGATTCCACCAAACCAAACTACATTAAATTGTGCACTTCTGTGAGATTGAAGTCTTTCAATAAGCTAGCAGCGATTCACATCTTTTGGTGATTTTTTTTTTTTGAAGGGATCATATTTTGGTGAGATTAAAGTCTTTCAATTGTGCACTTCTGTATGTCATCCTTCCATACTTTAAACATGTAATAATCTACAAACATTAGGTTTCACATATAATTTCTGGCATTGTCATGTTGCAGATATAATGGAGGCCAATTCAATGGAGATGGGCCTAATGCCAATGAAAGATAAAGATGGTCGTTGCATTTTTTGGGCTTCCTCTTAACAGGGCATAAGAATGACTAGTGATGAAATAATTGGATAGCAGTGGCAGCCTCTTCATACTGCCTTCTCCAGCCATCTTGGCAGTTTCAACGAAGTTTTCATCCCAAGCCTAGTGAGGAAAACCGCATATAGAATGTGTAGCAAGAATATAAAGAATCCACAATTAAGCAAAAGCTGACAAAATAAACAGTTACTTTAGTCCCGTGCATGATGGAGAAGAAAACAAAAAACCAACTAATGAAATAACAAGGAAACAGGGTAAGTTAGGAAATCATACCAGGGTCCCAAATATAGCATAAATTGTATTCATTGATGGAATTGAGTTTATGCCTATAGCTGTGAGCATGTAGGTGAGAGAAGTATGAATATTTATGGTGATCTGCAAGGAAAAAGAAGAATTTAGGAAGCAAGTTACCTACACTCTCAAAAGCCAATATAGAGACTCATATGGTAATTACCAGAGCAAGTATGTTTTCTCTTATTAAGAATGAGGATATTAGAACATACCCCATTGCACCCATTGCTCGAACCTGCATGTTAAGAAAATGTTAACCTCATCAGAACAATTAAAGAACCAAAAGATATAACAGTGCAAAATGGGTGTAAAGAAATTGAGTAAGGCAACAGAGTACAAATGTGCAGAAGAAGATAGAAAGTCCCCAGTTTTTGCCCAACCTGACAAGATAAAAGAGCAACTGAGCAACTGAACCATTTTATATTGATGTTTAAAGCACAAGAATAAAATCACCATGATAAAAGTAAGAAAATATAATAGAACTATTAACTGCTACGACTAGGATAAGCCACAACATTTACAGATACCAAGAAAAAATAAAAAAAATCACATGTATAAAATGCTCATCTGCACAGATTATATCATGCCTAATTGCCTTTCCATACCTCCACAAAGTACCCATGGCCAGACCAACTAATCCATGCATAAGCTACAAATAAGAGTAATCCCAAAAGTAAAAGTCAGCAGTCAGTTTTTCTCTTGATAGAAGTCATATAAATTGAAAATCAGCCATGAAAATACAAGTAAAGAAACAAGCAAACATTCTGGTTTTGCAGGAATATGGAAGAAGAAGTTGGTTGGTCAAACAATCAGAAAACAATGATTAATATCCGATATCGTTTATCGAAAAAATGATTAATAAATATCCAATATTATGTTTCTTGTCATGATTTTTTGCTCTCTGTACTATTAAACAGCATATTCAAGCTCAAACGCCTAAACTAGTCTAAATAAATATTGTGCGTAAAAAATAAAGCCCAAATACATGCAGCTGGAATTCACTTGCCCAGTGAATTTCTTACTGGCATATGATAGAAACAAACTTATAGTCAATAAAAACTCTACTTCAGACTTAGAATTTCACATGACAAGAAAGTCTTTCTAAGAAAGCCAAGTGCTAGGAGCAGCTTGATGCCTAGAATCTATTACAGTTGATAAACCCAAGATATCTCTAAGAAAGAGTGGCATTCAAAATGTTTAATTGTTGCAGTATTCTGTAATTTGACATCTTTATATCCTAGATTAGTTAAGTAACAGCAACCACATCATTTGTTACACCTCAACCATAGACAGCTTAAGGTTCACGAAAATGCTTCAATCTTAATATAAGAATCAAATATTCCTTGTTATTCTTTCCCTTTTTTTGACAAAAAAAAAGTTGATCTGAAAAAGAAGGTCCTTTAGGTTAATGCCTTTACTGGACCAGACAGGTTACATGAAAGAAGGGTTTTATTAGAAAGACTGAAGAAGCTCCAAGCATACTCACCAGATAGGTTAATGCCTTTACTGGACCAGACAATGTAAGTAATAGCATGGCAGTTGCTACCTGCAAGGAAAGAAATATGATAATCAAAATTCATGTTTTAGGGGGCAAAAGGATTTGAATAGAAGTTTTAAAATTTGTAGGACAAAGCCAAAAAACAAACCATTGTCTTTCTACCAGCTGCAACGCCCCATCTCATGGAGGTTATAACTATTGGCAATGAAAAGAAGCATGCAACATAGTTCTGCAAAGAATTGGAACCCATGTTAAACATGTTCCATTAAAGTGATAGAAGACTATCTTAAAAACTACAAATGCTACATACACGCACAGCTCCGTGCTATATATCACTTCTACAACTCTAATCTCTAATCTCCAGGAGTGGAAGTATATTTTTGGGTAAACGAGAAGTGTGAACACAAAGTCAACCATGTCATCTCACTAACAACTACAGAGGGTTGAAAGGATATAACAGAAACAAACATGAAATAATAGTGCCGAAAATGTGACAAAACTTGTATGCATAAAACAAAAAGCAAGGTAGGCAGGTTGGTAATGCGAATGTTGATACAAAAGACCGGGACTTCAAGCCCGTCTTCACCCATTAAACTGTTATCAACAACCAAATTTCCGACCAGAAAAGAAGGAAAAAATCATTTCTTTATAAAACAACAAGCACATACAAAATGGAGTTATGAATTAAAAACTACAACAGATTGCAAAAAGTAATGCAAGAATAACGTAGCTATGAATTAAAAACTAACCAGACAAAAAAAATCCTCAAATTCCTACTTTAAAGTCCTTAAGTGGCATCTAAGATATTAGAAGAAATCTCTAACAATCACATTGAGACTGAAAACATCTAAAGATGGTCGACAATCACATACAAAACGGAGACGGAACGAGAAATGTCATACCTCGATTGCAAGAGAATTGCTCAAGAAATAAGCTAGTCCAGCAACGGCAGCGAACATCGAGCACTCCACTAATCTCAGAGTGTTGTTGTAAACGTCCCCGTCGGCTGCTAAATCCTCGAATTCCCCGGCTGGAACCTCGTTATTCGAAACCCTAGGGCTTCGAAGTTCACGTTTATAGAGAACATTTGGGGTACGAGAAGAGAGAGTTGCAGAGATGACATGATGTCTTAGGAGAGATGTCGATTCGTTGGAGACTAAAGAGATGGAGAGAGTGTGTGTTTGAGGTGAAGAGAGAAAGGGATGAAGAAGGGCAATCTGTGAAATATGTGAATACGAGGGTTGGAGCTTCAGAAGATTCATAAAGAAGAGAATAGGGAGAGAGGGAGAACGGGAAGGAGTAAACAAATGGACGGATTATTCTCTCTGTTTTATCCTTTCTCTGTAACGACCAACAAGGGCGGGAGACAGAGCCACACAAAGGGAATTCTGGGTCTGGGCATAGTGATATTACCGAGTTTATCGTTCAGCCTTCTTTAAAATTACCAATATGTACTTAGACGGCTTGAGCCCTTGGGCCAAATCTGAATTCAATCCAAATTCGGGTTCGGTTGTAGCGTCCAACTGTGGGCCAATCTGAATTCATCTATCTCTCATTTATTTTTTGCATTATGATAACTCAAAGGCTGGTTTTGGTTAAGCAGATGTCATATCCCTCTTTGAAAAAGTCACGTGTCAAAAGGTGAATAATTGGAAGTATGAAGTCTTATTTAGTCAAAATTTACATCTCAAGTTTAAGAAAATGATATCAAATTGCTTGCATATTAAAAAAAAGTAGAAAATCCTCCATTTACTTAGGCTCCACACTCTCATTGGTACAAACAAATCCCAAATCTTTGAGTATCTACTATCTAGCAAAGCCAAAGGTTGGAGAGGTTCTTTACTTTCTCAAGCAGGTAGTAAGGAGGTGCTCATTAAATCTGTCCTCACGACCATGCCAGCTTATTGTATGTCATGTTTTTTTCTTACCAGAAAACATTATGAATTCCATTATTAACAGCCAAAAAGGTTTTTAATTGGGGATAGTGAGGAAAAGAATAATAAAATAAGATGGACAAGTTGGGACCAAGTTTATAAAAACAAATTAAATGATGGGTTGGGATTTAGGGATCCAATGGCTTTCAATCCTGCCCTCTTGCCAAAACTTACTTGAAAGTTGTGCTCTGCTGATAATTCAAGTTTGTGGGCTAGATTTTTAAAAGCAAAATACTTCCATGATTCCCATTTTTTACAAGTTTCTTTAATTTTTGTCCTTCATGGAGCTGGAGAAGTGTATTTTTGATGGAAAATTAGTAGTTTCTTGAAGGTGGGTGTTTGGGATGACCCCTGGATTCTAGGTTTGAAAGCAATTGGACCCAAACCCTTCAATTCTCAACAGGGTAGATGAGCCTATTGATCATGATAGAAGAAGTTGGAATGTAAATAAAATCAATGACCTCTTTACAATTACAACAACGCAAAAAATCTTGAACATAGATTTATTTGTAAATCCGTGGCCAGATGAGTTGTTGTTTGTAGGAAGTAAAAGTTAGTTGTTTTTATTTTTTTGCAAAGAAGCTCAAAGAGGAAGAGTCCTCTGCTTCTGTTGGTCCAAGGAAAACATTACTGGAAAGATATTGTTGATTCGAACACTTGTGAAAGGTGTAGAAAGGAGCCTGAATCCATTTTATATGCCCTTCTACTTTGTGATAAATCTAGGTGCATCTAACTGGGCCCTGGGGCCGGAATTAATCCAGAACATGGCAGATCTTTGCTCCTTTTTTGGAGAGTAGTATAACAATATTTTATCCTCTTTAGGATCTGATTCCTTGGGTTCAGTAGCAAATTTGGCTATTATTTTATGGGAAATTTGGAAAGATAGAAATCTGTTTTACTTTGAAAATGAAGATGTGATCTTTTATTGGGTTGGCTAATATTTATAGGTCAATAGTCAATAGTGGAGAGATCTCTTCTCTAACAGCTGAAATCAGAAAGCTCTTCTAATCCTAGTTGAAGAATGAAGCGGTATGTTGGTCAGCCACTGATCTAAGGAATGTTGAAAATGAACTGTCATGTTGGATTTTTGTCCTCTAATAAGGCTTCATTTTGCGAGATCATCAAGGTTTTTGCTAGGCAGTTGGTTTTTGGAGCTATGAGGACATCTTCACCTCTTATTGCCGAGGCAAAAGCACTGTGGGAAGCCGTAAAATTTGTAGATTAGTTGGGTATTTCTAATATGGTTTTTGAATCGAATTGTGAAAGTCTTGTGAAATCATGTGGTTTAGTCAATCACAACGAAAATCTTGATATTGTCTTTTGCTGTCGTGATATTGCTGAATTGGTTGGGAGAAGAAGATAAATTTCCAATTTTGCTCAAGATCTTTGAATGGGGCAGCTCACGTAGCTGCAAAGTATGGTTTGTCTTTTTATCCAGTTATAGACATGGCTTTTAAAACTGACCCAGAGACTGAATCGGTCAGGGGTCCGGTTACTGGGTCGAATGGTTCGATCATTCGAACCAAATGGTTGGCCCGTTCTAATAAAAAAAATTAAAAAAAGTCAAAACGGTTCAAACGATTAACCGTCCGAGTCAGCGGTTTGCTGACCAAAATCAATTGTTTTTGAAGAAAATTTAGTTTTGGAGAAAAAATCACCTGGTTCCCTATTTTTCCTGTCCGACCGTCCGGTCTAATCTGGTTTTGAAAACCATCGTTATTCCTTTTGTGCTCTCTGAGGTGTTATGCTATGAGTGTGCCAGATGTGTTTAATTTCCTTTTCTTTTTTCTTTGTAGTTCTGTTCTCTGGTTTTTTTCTACTTTAATGAATATCTTTTTACCAAAAAAAAAAAAAGACTTATGTATTGGGCACTTGGGCTATCTAACCCAACCTGAATCCCTTTGACTAGTTGTAGTTAGTAACAGTGTTTTCAAAATCGAACCAGATCGGGTGGTTGGATCATAAAAAACAGGAACCAGTTACCTGACCAATTCCATTTTACCCCAAAATCGTTTTTTGGCCAAAAATCATTGATTTGGTCAACGAATCACTGACCTGGGCGGTCGAACCGTCAACCTAGAGAATGTTTTTTGGCTGTTTTTTATTTTTAATTTTTTTTTATCAGAAAGGGCCACCTGTTTGACCCAGAAACCAATCTTCATAATGGTTCCTTGTCTGGTCCGGTTTTAAAAACCTTGATTGGTAAGGCCTTCTACTGGTAGACAAGGTGTCTATTGCGAGACTGGATTCAGTATTCACAAAATTTGTTCTGACACAGTTCTCACAATAACAACATTTGGAATATCTCTTTATTTATGGGGAGATGTTCCCACTGCACGTTTGCAAAAGATTGTGAGCATGATGTGATCACAGTTTTGTGAGTACTTAATTCAAATTCTTGCCTAATTTTTTACTAGAAAAAAGTTTGATTACTTATGAGGTTTGAGTAATCATATATATATATATATATATATTAAAAAGCTATTTTCACGTAGCTCATAAGATGGCCACAAAAAAAACGAATAGATCATCTCTTAAGAAAACGTTTAAGGACATTCTACATGCTCATTAAATTTTTGCATAATTCAATTTTTACCCTTCTTTTTTATCTCTTTTTTTTATATAAGAAACAGGAGGAACTACACCAAGCCGGGAATAGTTCGGCCTTAGGAACCACTAACACAAATAAACAATAAATCCTTAGGGAGGGAGGTAGTACAAAAGTTGAGGGGGTTGGGGAGAGACAAGAGAGCTTGATACCCCTCTTTTTTTATCTCTTTCATCTCATTCTCTTCCTCACCTTCAATCACCCGATTGAAGAACCCCGTCTCTCTTCTCCTCCTTCTGTCACCATATTAGAGTCAATGGCTTCTCTCTTGTCAAATTGAGAAATAATGGGGTTGAACAATTTATTTTTACAAGGGTACACCTAAGCCAGAGAGGAAATATTGTTTGTTCAACTATAGTTATTATATTATAAAAATGAAAGGGGGAAGGTCATTTTAGAAGTAGATTTTGTAAGTCAAAGGGTGAGTTCCCTTGGTCTGGTGACCTTAGCAATGACAAAGTAGGTGAGAATGGAGAGAGAGAGAGAGAGAGGAAAGAAGGTTGGCATTGCTGATTTTGATTGATGGTGTTTTAACAGAGAGAGAAAAAGAGAGTAGGGCATGTTTTTGAAAATTTAATGAATTTTACCTTGTATATGAAAGGTCAACAAGGTCTGTAACTTTTGAAACTATAGGTTATATATAAGTAGTTTCCTCAAACCTTACTTAGGGTATATATAAGTAATTACCCCCCCAATAAAAGAAATAAAAAGAAAAAAAAAAACTAGTTAATCTAAGTAACATCACAAGGTGCCAATTTGCCAACTGGCTAGTTGGTAAGGTCTCGGACTCGCTGTAGTAGTCTTGGGATTGAATTCTGCCTACGTTAGGGTTTGGGGGTTATGTATTTGAGGGATGGGCTATCCCATTCACACGTACAGTCTCAATTTGATTGTACCAAATACTTGGGATTGATTCCTGCCTAGGGGTGTAGCAAATCACCAACAGAAGTAGCAATCCAATGCATCTCCAACCACCAAAAACGGAGAGATAAAATGACAATAGAGGTTCCTAAAAGAAAATGCAAAGTGTTGGTGATAGCATGGGTTGAGTAAAGCCACAAAAATGTGGCAAAGCCTCAAAAACTGCAACCGCTACTAAAGACTATAACTGCCACCAATTACTACACCCGTCAGTGAACTGTAGGCAGAATCAACTGTGGACGACAGAGTCAAAGCAGCAACCATTCCCATCGATCGCCCAACACAGGATTAGAGAGAAGGCAACCCCCTTGCCAAAATCCTTACACAAAGGAAATAAAAAATGAAAAAAAAAGGAGAAAAACAAGGGAGAGGAAAGAGTGATTGGGTGACAAGAAAGGGACGAACAAAAGAATAGTGGGGGAAAGAAAGAAGTGGATTAGTCAGGAAGAAGAAAGAAGAGTGAAGAAAAGGGGAGGAGTATAGAATAAGGGAAAATTATGCCCGAAAGATATAATACGAGAAAGGTTGTGACCAACCCAAACCACCCCCTCACAAACCCCTCTCCTACGTAAATTTCGGTATCATGTCTTTCCAGCATTATATTCGAATCAATAAAGAAAACTTGAAAATTATTAGGTGAGTAAATTTGTTTTATGGTTTGGCGTGAAGGTTCAAGGTTGTGATGAATTTCTTCTAGCGAATTAGATTATTGACTTGATATGAAAGACAAAACTGTTTGGACACAGATCATATTGATTAACTTGGAGTTCCATTTTATCTTTAAAAAACTTTTGTTCAAATCACAACTTATTCTGACCATTACAAATGAGATTGGCAGTCATAGGCAGCTCTGCCACCCAATGTTTGTATTTTAAGACCATGATGCAAACTGGTTAAATCTGGATCAACTTACACGAGGAAAGGTTGTTTCACTGAAAAATACAAGCTAAATAACATGTATAGGAGGAAAACAGCTCAGCTTTTTTTTTTTAAACATGGTTTTTAAAACCAACCAGGAGACCGAATCGGTCAGAGGTCCGGTTATCGGATCAAATGGTTCGACTGTTCGAACCGAACAGTCAGTCCCTTCTAACAAAAAAAATTAAAAATTAAGAAAACGGTCAAAATCATTCAAATGGTTAACCGCCCGGTCAGCGGTTTGCTGACCAAAATCAACAGTTTTTGGAAAAACCGTAACCAGTCACCTGATCGGTTCCCATTTTTCCAGTCTGACCGAACGGTCCGGTTCAGTTTTGAAAGCCATGAAAAACCCAATAGAATGAGCTACCAACTGGGCTACCAAATGAAGGGCAAAGACCCCTATGGGGGTGTCAAGCAGTGATTAATATAAAAAACAAAAGAAACAAAAAATGGGTGCAAAGAACATTTACATTTTAGGCCTTGTTCGTTTTTCGGTAAGTTACTCGAATAAATGCAATTACCTGGGTAAGTGCCAGGAAATACTTACCCAGGTAAGTGCATTTACCCATGTTCTTTTATTTCTCAGGTAAATAAGACAATGACCATTTTATCCATAAAAATCCATTATTAAAAGGGGCATTTTTGTCTCATTCAAGTGTTGGCAACTTTCCTCCTATGTGAAAAAGTTATTTACCCACCTAGGAGATGGGTATCACTTTCCTAGGTAAGTGATACCCAGAAAAACAAACTTTCCATGGTCCCTACATTAATCTGAAAAATGAACATGGGATTCTTGGTCAGTGTGAACCAAAATCCCATTGACGAACTTTCCCCCTCTCCAAATCCAAAAAAAGAACGCCCCCTTAACGGTTCACTGGATTGACAAAGATAATTTCATTAAAAGCCAGACTTACAAGTAAAAACACAAAATTGGATTTGACTTATTCTAAACCCAATCACATTTGAAAAGAACAATAGCTTTGCATAATAGCATAATAAATTATTTCCATGGCAAAAAGTTACAAACAAAATTTCTATCTCCTCAAAAATCAACAGACACTCATTTTAAATTCCATCAAGGCAATTTGAATTCTTGCTGGACTTACTCTAGATCATAACTTATGGTCCTTCATTTCATGATAGGCATGGTTTTCTTTTCACACATGGGTGAATTTGATCGACTACTTATGTCATTTCCATAAGAATTTTGAGTTCAATCCATTATTTTCTATGGAGATCTAAAAGCCTCTCCAGCATAACGCACATTTCCAAGTTCCTCTTCGATCCGTAATAGCTGCATTAAAGTTGAGACCAAAAAAGGATTGTAAAAATTATGTCAGTGGATCAAGGAATATATATAAAAAGTGAACATATTCTGGTAACTTTTATTGACCAAGAACATTGATACTGTCAAAGATTAATTAGGAAATAACGACATTACAAAAAATACACTATTTTTTACATCATTATTTCCAATACCCAGTAAACATTCTTGAAGCAATAATGGTTCCCTCGATCACCTAAGCATGGCTACACAAGCTTCCAGCAATGTGTATCCACAGACAAAACTAAACTACAGATGAAATATATTACTAATCTTTTTAGATATAAGCTACACATTGCTTACCATTATATATATCCTTGAACATTTAGTCAGTAACTTGAGTCATGCAATAAGATGTATGCCTTTCATAGTTTCATAAATCGTTACCTCTCTTCTTGACTAACCAATAAAGCAAAACAAATTACAAATATAATAGATCAAAATGGCCCTTGGTTATATTAGATGCCATATTGCCATCTTGGCAGTTTTCCAACAAATGCATGATTTTTTGTTATCCAAAAGGTGAATTTCATTCTCCAGGTTAAAAAATGCCTCTAACATAGAAAACAAGGTTTTTTTTTTTTTTAATAACCAAAAAGCCATTAGAGCACCCAGAGAAAGAGATAAGAAACTATTACCTGATTGTATTTGGCCAATCGTTCACTTCGGCAAGGAGCTCCTGTTTTGATCTGCAAGACAGAGCATAGTAGCATATACACAAATTAACCCTATGACCTCTGAAAAAGTTAATATTAGCCAGAATTTTTTAAGGGCATTAACATGCCTGTCCACTTGCCAAACCAACAGAGAGATCTGCTATGAAATTATCCTCTGTCTCACCACTCCTGTGGCTGACCATCACACCCCAACCTGCAGCTTTTGAGTCAAGAGCTGCTTGAATGGATTCAGTGACTGTGCCTATTTGGTTAACCTGCAAAAGAAAATGGCCATTAATAAGTTCCTTAACATGGAGCATGCAAAAACGAAAATGGCAATTGATAATGCAGCTGGCATTTCATTGCTTGCATTATATGATCAAATCACCAAATCCAACTTCCACAAAATGGGAGATAGAAGTGGGTCCCATTATCAGTGAGAAAACCAATCTGACACAATGCAAATCATGTATATCCCCTGGCCATTTCGATTTCAAGATATAACCACAGTCAACTTTAATATACTATGACAATTTTCCCACCATTCACAGATTGCACAGAAAGGTTAGGAAGGCCCAAAGGGCATCATACCGGATTGGCCACAAGGTGTCATTGCTAGGTTGAGATGTGCAGGGAAACAGGGACTCCAACAGAGACCAGCCAAGGCCTTGCTTGATTCAGAAAGATGGAAGACCAACCACATGAAATGCAGCACATGGTTATTTCCACTATGTCCTCTTCCAGAAATTACCCCCCCCCCCCGAAGAAAAAAGGGGCAAAGCGCACCATATATTTGTATTGTCCACTATGTCCTCTTCCTGGGTTTTCCTTAAAAATAAAAAATAAAACATATTTAAGGGCTGTTCCCAATATTGGTCAGACAACCAAGGGTCTTGGGGAGTGAATTAGATATGGGACCTTAACCTTCGACATTTTTTTTTGAAATAAAGTGACCACTCTCAGACTTGAAATTGTGTTCATGCTTGTCAGCCAGAGATATTGCCATTGTAACAATGATCCCCAAAAAATGTCCTATTTTAAGTTTAAGATACTAAATTCCCGATGTCATATCACATCTTTTCAATTGAATCATCCTGGGCAAAACTTGTTTACTCTCCAGCCAAAATAATGTGACTTACTGATATTTAACCCCACAGTGGCTAATAAAAAAGGTAACTTGTGGAAAATGAATGGTAAATAGATGGAGAAAGAATTTGAACAAACATTTTGAAATATGGTTTCTTTTTTCATGATGTCTCATGCTGACATAGAATTCAGGATTTGCCTTGCATGGAACAATAGACTGTCCATGAAGCTGTAGGATGGAGTAAAAAATATCATTGCAAAAATAAAGTTGAAAATTAGAACATTCAAGTATGCAAAAAATAATACTTATAAATACTTACCTTTAATAGCAAAGCATTGCAAGCCTTCTTCTGAATAGCTTCAGAAATTCTCTTTGGATTAGTGACCAGCAAGTCATCACCTACAAGTTGGATATCAACTGAAGACCGTAATGAAGCCCATGAGCTCCAATCATCTTGATCAAAGGGGTCTTCAATTGACACAATAGGAAAGTCTCTGACAAACTCCTTGTACATTTCACAGAGGCTCTGAGCTGTGTAGACATGAGCACCATCATTTGGCTGCTTCTTAAAGTTTAGGTCATATTTCCCATCTTTTGTGAAGAACTCTGAAGCTGCAACGTCCATCCCTATTTTGATCTGCATCATTCATTTTTTATGTTATTTCTAAAATAGTAAACACTAAAAACTAGGAGGGTGTTTGGCAGAGATGCATCTCATTTATGATGAATCAGGAATGCAATGCACCTGATAATGCATTGTTTTTGTCAAATATGTGTTTGGCTGAGATATATGCTGATTATGCATTTAAAGTACTTTGTTTTTATTGTTGCAATAAAGATATGACAGATCAGAAAAGTTCTGTTTTTTTCACGTTTCAATATGACACATCAGAATGATGATTCAAGATCATCATCACAGTGATTTAAGAAACACAAAAAATGGCAATTCAAGAATCATCTTTCTGCATGGAATTCTAGGTGAATCGTTGGACCACAGTTTCTGCATGAATCAGTATTATTAAATATGATGCATTCCTGATTCTGCACGAACGCTAATGTGGCAAGCTGGTGCAACAAATTGATTATGAAAAACATCCTTCCCAAACACCCTCTAGATGTATCTATCAAAAAATAAATAAATAGAACACCCTCTAGATGTGGAATGAAAAAAATATTTAGCACTACTCATTCTACCTTGCTTGTGTAACCAGCCTTTTCAATTGCATCAATGAGTAAAACCAGTCCCTCCCTGTTATCCTGAACATTTGGAGCAAATCCTCCTTCATCTCCAACATTGCAAGCATCTTGTCCATATTTTGCCTTGATGATGCCCTTGAGAATATGATATACTGTTTCCAGAAACATAATTTAAAGTAGTCATTTTAGATTTTCTTGTTCATTTCTCAGTAGATCAATGCAGTAAAAAAGCCCCCAAGCTACAGTGACCTATTATATGGTATTAAAATGCCTTAGTTCTAGCCCTAAATTTGCATCCATCCAATGATCATAGCAACCCAATAAATTAGTTTGGATGAAAAACAGTAGTCAAGATCCTTTAAACCATTTGAAAAATCAAAAGAATACAACTTAATCAGGAGGCAACTTTCTGACCAGTAACTAAGAAACAACATAAAGTTGATGGCCAAAACCAATCGATAATTATCATTCTGTTGTGGTGGAAACACAGGAAATTCATTTATTCTCCATGGGAGATGTCAGGAAAAAGTGTACTAACCTTCACTGCCCATCTGCAGAGCCTCAGAAAATGAAGCAGCACCTACTGGTAGTATCATGAATTCTTGCATGGCAAGATTATTACCAGCATGGCTGCCCCCATTTATCACGTTGAAAGCTGGAACTGGCATAACAAGCTCCTTCGTTCCAGCTAATTCTTGAATGTGCTTGTAAAGAGGCACCCCCTTTACCCCAGCACCAGCCCTACAGACACTCAGGGATACTCCTAGAATGGCATTGGCCCCCAATTTTGATTTATTTGGTGTACCATCAAGTTCTAACATGATAGCATCGACATCAGCTTGATTTCTGATTGGAAAAACAAAAAGGGAGCAAGAAATGCATAAATATCACAACCCACATTGTAAATGAAAGAAATTTTGCACACAGACCAATTGAAGCTTCAACAATCATCAAGTTCTGGAAGCATAATAACAGCACAATATGGTTATAGAGTAACAAAGTAGAACATCGTAGTTAAATACAGATATCCAAAGATCAAGTAAACAAATGAATCTTGGATTAAGTAGCTTAAGTTGGATTCGGTCCATTCGGAAGGATCATATATACTTTCTGAGTTCCATTTTCTTCCAAAACAGCTCCATGCTCACAAGCAGGAAGCAGCATACTGTGTCAATCCCATCCAATATCATAGAGGTATGGACACACCGTCATCAACTTTCCTATCCATGATCTAGACTAGTTTTGATTATATAAAGCAATATCAAATAAATCTGGGGGAAAACAATTTATTCCGGACGGGTTAGGGACATTAAGCGATCCAGCATACAAAGAAGTTTTTCTAAAGACAAGGCCGTAATTAATGATTAATGTCTTAAATCAATCTGACGATTTACCATTTAGCCAACACTGAAGCTGATAAGGATTCAACGATGTCAAGTTTAAACATATAGTGGCTTGTAGTAGTCACTTATCAAGCAAAAGAAATTAAAAAAAAAAGGAAAAACTTTTATGTGACTATGAAAATCAGCACAGACAACTAAAAGTTTTGAATTCTGTAACTTCTGTTAATGATATGCAAGCTCCAATTAATATAATATGAAAGAAGCGACAACTAGATACCATATACAGTAGAAAGCCACATTTACAGTTAAATCCTAATAACTAAAAGCAAAAGGATCATAAATTATTCTAAGAAATCAACAAAATCCATGCTTTTTTATAAAAAAAAAAAGTTATTTCATGAGAAACTTCCAAAGAGATTTTAAACCCACCTAACGTCTACACCAATGAGCTTGGGAGCTAAAACCTCGTTAATGTTCTGAACCGCTTTGAGAACGCCTTTTCCACCATAAGCTCTCTTGTCGCCATCTCTGAGTTCCAATGCTTCATAGATCCCAGTCGACGCTCCGCTGGGGACGGCAGATCGATATAGATCATCAGTTACAAGATCAACCTCAACAGTGGGATTCCCTCGACTATCAATGATTTGCCTCGCCTTCACCGATTTCACGGCGAACTCCTTTGCGGCATTCACCGGCGAAGGAGCGACGGTAATGGAGCTGCGGACGGACAGAGGACGATACTTGTGAGAGGTGGAAGATGGGAAAGAAGTGGAAGGGGAGTAGAGAGAAGAAATTTTGGAAGAAATGAAGGGATTTTCGAGAAGAGTGCTGGGTTTGGATGAGGAGAGAGAGGTGATTAGGGCCATCTTTAGGCGGTAATAAAGCCGTTGAGGATGTAAGGGCTGCTCCTGCTTCTCAGTTTTCGGAGACAACAAGGGCTCTTGTCTATCTATATATATACAAGTGGAGTGGAGGGTGGGAGGAGGGGTTGGTTTGGTTGAGAAGTCTGTCAATGGGAGAAGGAAGCAAAGATGCCTCCGACTCCTGGTGTGGTGGTTGTTGGAGACTTGGAGTTGGGGGGCTCTGAAGACTGGAGAGACGTTCAAAGACGCGAGCACCCGCGCGCTAGAGAGAGAGAGGAGGTAGGTGTGGCCGTGTGGACAGTGGAGTGAGTGTGCATGGGTTTCAAAAGGTAGGTCCCATTAGTGATATAGTGCTGTGTGATCTACGATAGTTTCATGTGTCTCAAAAGATGTACGTGTCTCACTAGTCACAAGATGAAAGATTCACTGGTTGTGTCATTCCGACCGGCTGATTATTGAGGGGCTATAGGAAATCTACGTACTAATCGGATTCACTTGAGTAGGTGTGTGTCAATTGTGCTTGTGTCGGTTGCTGTTGATTAGCCGTCTTTTGACTTTGGATTGTATCTGTCTATATATCACGTGGCTGAAAGTTGGAACTTTACAAAAAAGAAAGGAACAGCTGAAACTTTACCCACCCATGTTTTATACGGATCAGCCAAGATGGTCGGACCGGGTTCAAATAATAAATAGCTAGTTCAAATAAAATGCATTGAGAATCAGATACACAAATACACTAGTATGTGTGTACGTGATTTGTACATCACAATTTTTTTTTATATTTCTATATCTATAAAAATTATTGTTATTTGTTATTTGTCACAATTCATTAATATATAGATATGACCAATATTTCTATATATTTTATATATCTTTTGTGTTTTAATCTTTTTAAAATTTTATTATATAATTATAATTTCATGGATTGATACATTTGATCTGAAATGTTGAATTGATCTACCACTAAACAAGAAAATAATTTCACTTTTGGGTTAGATTTGAATTTTGTATCTTATTTATATCATCAATAAAATGTTAAAACAATTTTTATTTATTGTGTCTAACTTTTGATATGATTAATATAAAATATTATAAATGTGTCCAATTGTTTTTTACAGAGTTTCTATCTTTTTCATATTTTTTATTTTTATTATTTAATCATGAAATCAATGGTTAGCACATATGATCCAAAATATTGAATTGTTGACCCCACCACTAGAAAAACATTTTCATTTTTGGGTTGGTTTTAAATTTTATATTTTATTTCCAACATCAATAAAGTAACTATTATTTATCACACTTGTTATTTTATATGATTAATATAAAATATTAGATGAGTGTCTAAATGTTATTACAAGTTTTTGTATTATTATATAAAATTTTTGTATTTTTATATTTTTTTCATTTTTTATTTAATTATGATATCAAGTGTTGACACATTTGACTTAAAAAGTTAGAATTGTTGACCCACCACCACAAACATAATTTTTATTTTTGGATTGGTTTTAAATTTATATTTCATTCCAACATCAATAAGAATAATTATTATTTATCACACTTATTTTTTATTTAATGTGATTAATATATATAAAACATTAGAGACGTGCCAAAATTTTCAATATTTGTTATTTATTTATATTTTAAAAGTTTTTATTTAATTATGACATCATGGATTAGCCCACTTGATCCTGATGGTTTAATTGCTTAATCACCACCATGATGGAAAAACAGTTATGCTTTTGGATAAATTAAAAAAAAAAACATGTATTTTATATCATTAAAAGTATTGCATGTAGATCTAATTGGTAGAATTTATTTGTTTTTGTTTTGTGAAAATAATCTCTTAAATATAGGATTTAATAAAAATGGGAGCTAATACTCTAAAATAAGACTTAATGAGAGGGAATTGAATAAGGATAAATATAGTAGTTCAAATAATATTTTGTGCCATCACATTAACCATCATAAAAGAATGACAACTATAAATACACTATTATGATCTATTGCCACCAAGCCAACTCTAGCACGATAAGAAGAGAGAGCACCATTAAAATTAATTTTGATATGTGGAGCTGGTGGTCGACACCAAAGAGTAGACGAGACTAGTGGCTTCATTTGTAGTGCATCCAGTAATTGGGCTACAATTTTGTTGTTAACACTTAGGCCCTGTTTGCTTTTCGGTAAGTTACTTACTCAGGTAAATGCAGTTACCTGAGTAAGTTTTTCCTAGGAAACACTTGCCCGGGTAAGTGCATTTACCCATGTTCTTTTATTTCTCATGTAAATAAGGCAATGACCATTTTAGTCGTAAAAATCCATTATTAAAAGGGGCATTTTTGTCCCATTCAAGTGTTGGCAACTTTCCCTCTAGGTGGGAAAGTTATTTACCCACCTAGGAGATGGGTATCACTTACCCAGGTAAGTGGTACCCAGGAAAATAAACTTTCCCTGGTCCCCACATAAATCAGAAAAAAGAACATGGCATTATTGGTCAATGGGAACCAAAATCCCATTGACCAACTTTCCCCCCTCTCAAAATCCGAAAAAAGAATGCCCCCTTAATGTTATGGATCTCAAATGGGATCTTGTTGAAAATCAACTTTCATATGCTTTCTATATGTGCCATAAAACAATTGAACATTGAGCAACAATTGACGAAACCACATTGTGTAGTAGGCTCATCAATCTCTACCCAATGGTTCTACCAACCATGAAGCCTCCACTCTTGATGAGACTCTGATCTTGAAATGAACCAAAAAAGTGAAAAACCCTCCAAACTAGAGGGCACCTAAAGAACATGTGGTCTATTGGCTCCTCCTGGTGACAAACACTATGGCTAAGTTTGGAAGGAGTACAAATACAAATGTATAGAGTGCAGAACTTTGTATTATGTATATATTATTTGTATTGTACATATTTATATTTGTACTCTTTCCAAAAAAAGCCTATACTCCATCAAACGATTTCTGTGTCAATTCCATCTTAACAAGATGGGAGAAATTGAGGCATTTTACACAGAAAAAGATCTCAAGGGTGAATATTCTTGAACTTTCAAAACTGCCTCCAAGCTACATCTCCAAAAGCAATGTGTGCGCTTAAGAATTGAAACAACCTTGATGTAGAAATGGTACGCTGAAGCTGTAAAGAATAGTCCATTGGATGTATATTTCCACGTGAATGTGTCTTTAGCATCACCAAGAAAAAAAAATTGGTATAGGCATTTGTACAATGGAGTTTGCAATTTGAGTTGGAAAAATATACCTTATCAGAGGCATTTCTAGTATCTCTTTGATTGTACGACACACATGCAGCTCTCAAAGTCTCAACCCAACTTGAGGTTTCGAGTCTCCAACCCTAATCCAACACTCATCCTTAGTTCAGTCCAACCTAATCCAAAGTCAACCAAATGTTCTGAACCCTCAACCCTAACCCAACCAAATGATGTGCAATCTGGCAGCTCCCTGCTGGAGGACAATTCGAACATTGATCTGACGAATTCACTGCTAGAAGGTGGCTTAGATGTCGAGCCAGATAGTTCGTCAGGTTGACCTTCAAAGAGATAATATTAGAGTACATGGGTTGCTTTACCTAGGGTGAGCACTTTGATGTTAAGTCAGCAATGAGTTTTTTAGATTGCCAAGAGGTTTGGAGAATGCGAGAGCTTAGTCGCACGTACCTTCTTTGAGGAGAATGGTGCTTTTATATAGGTGTGAGGGGTTAGAGACCTTCTATAATGGGTCCTAGATCCCCAAAGAGTCATTTCCACTAAGTCGGGTGAGGGTTTCTTTGTCGGTTATGTAATTTGTGAAGAGAACTGAGGTCCGTCCGATCGACTTTGACGCGGATAGGTCGACCTAACGGCCAGCCATTAATACTCCAGAGAACTCGATCTGGTAGCAAACCCATGTAATAGGTTGGCTAGCACGGCTTGCAGGTCGCCACTTGTACCCTACTTAGCTCGGTCGGTTCTTGAGGGAGGTCGCTCCTTGCATGGGAGTCCTTTAGGTCAGCCGAGCCGCAGTACTTTAGGTCGGCCTTAGGTGAGATGCTACTAGCTAACCTACCGAGGTGGTCTGCTCACTCAGCGCTGAGGTGTCACTTGGATGCCATGTATCATGATGTTATTCAAAGGACCAAATTACTCCTCATCACAACCTAAATCCATCATCCTTAGTCCATGATGGCTCAAGTTAGGCCCAACCTGACCTTTCTCCCATTTTTCTTAAAATTTTATAAAATGTCTTAGGTTCTTTTATCCTTTGACTAAAGAAACCTAAATTGAACCTTTATGATTATTATACTAACCAAATTTTTATTGGTATTTGCTTGTTCAACGTTTTTATTGATTTTTTAAGTGCAAAATATGATAGAAAGAAAGGATATTTCAAGTGATTATAGTCTATTATGAATTATTCTAAATCTTTTTTTTTTGAAATCTAAAAATCATGAAATTCACAATAACAAGACATGAACTTGTGAAATGAAATTTACTAATGACAATTTGTCATTTGGGTTAATACTTTAGGAGGAGTTAGTTTTTGGGATTTTGAAAGGGGAAAGTTGGTCAATGGGATTTTGGTTCCTATTGAGCAAGAAACCCATGTTCTTTTTTTTAGATTTATGTGGGGATCAGGGAAAATTTATTTTCTTAGGTATCATTTACCCAAATAAGTGGTATCCATCTCCCAGGAGAGTAAATAACTTTCTCACCTAGGGGAAAGTTGTCAACACTTGGATGGGACAAAAATGCCCCTTTTAATAATGTATTTTTATGGTTAAAACACCCATTGTATTATTTACCTAAGAAATAAAGGAACATGGGTAAATGCACTTATCCGAGTACCCCAAGTAAGTAATTTACCAAAAAGCAAACGGGCCTAGAGTTGAGACAATTTGATATGAAGGTATGTAACAAGGCTATAATACATATGTACAATTGTACATAGTATTAATAGAGTTGGGTTCAGGGTTGGGTCTAGTTGTTCAATGGTTAACCCTAACCCAACCTGAAGTGAAGTTGGATTGACAAAATTCAACCTCGATTGTTAGTTCAGCCCAACTCAACTTGATTTTTCTAGTTCGATTAGAATTGGCTTCCAGTTAGGGGTGTCAATGGATTGGATTTGGGTTGGACCCATCTAGTCCAAATGTCTTTTGGACAGGTTGGACAGTCCACAAGATTATATGGACTTGGACTGGTCCAAATATAAATGGTTTGTACACATAGTGGATTGTATTTGGACAAAACTGATTTTTCCGGTAGTCCAAAGTCATTAAATATGTG